GACGTCGTCAAGCCAGAGCCCAGCTCGGGGCAGGACTGAGGGCGATCCGGTCCTTCCCAGAGCAACAGAGCTGAGCAGAGCGGAGGGCAGCGAGGCAACTCGAGGGGCAACAGGGCAGGCTGGATTACACACAGGCCGGTTCTAAGGGCAGGTAGGCAGCTATAAAGCTGTTCTTAAGGTAATAATAATAATTAATAATAATTGCTTACGCTTATATAGCGCCTTTCCGGACACTTCACTCAAAGTGCCATACAGGTAATGGGGAATCCCACTGCCACCAACAGTGTGCAGCCCCACCTGGAGGATGCGCCAGTCCGCTCCCCACACACCAGCTCTCAGTGGGGAGGAGAGCAGAGCGATGGAGCCAGTTCAGAGAGGGGGGTTATTAGGAGGCCATGACTGGTAAAGACCAGGGGGGAAATTTGGCCTGGACACCGGGGTAACACCCCTACTCTTTTCGAGAAGCACCCTGGGATTTTTAACGACCACAGAGAGTCAGGACCTCGGTTTTATGTCCCATCCGAACGACGGCGCCTTTATACAGTATAATTTCACAGGTAAAGGTAAGGTTCTGAGGGAAAAGGGCAACTCAATGAGCAAAGCCTGGGTTTAGAGGGGCAACAGGGCAGTTCTGCGGGCAACAGTGCAGCGTTCAAACCTCCAGGTGCAGGACCTCCTCTCCAGGACTGTACCCTTCCCACGAAGCCCTGTCGGTCCGGGCCGCCCGGCCTCCTGGGTAGGAGCCGAAGATCAGGTTGTACACCTGCAGGGAGGGAGAGAGGAAGACCAGTCAGCTGGATGGATGGATCGCAAGGGGCAAAGGTCAGGCTGCACTCCTGCACCGAGCGAGGAGAGATTAGAGAAACGCGCCCCAAAACGACAAATCAATCCCAGACATTCCCACAGCTGCCAGGTTCTGAACAGTTTCCAAACCCACTGGGGGAGGAAACGCCACAGAGCTGCAGCCCTGCGTGTGACCTCCTGTCACAGAGCCCGCCTCCCAAATGACAAAGCCCTCATCCTCATCCTCACCCTCATGCAACGATGTGCCAGCACTGTAATTCACCGGTCACGTCAAGAAAGATCTGAAGAGGGAGGGTTAGGCTGGGGTTAGAGAGGTGG